CCCCCCCCCCCCCCCCCCCCCCCCCCTTCATTGTACAGAATGCTGTGGCAATAGCTTCAGTTCATTTGCCACAGTCTGTCTTCTCCTCATCCGCAGCCTGGCAATCTGTTGATAACTCCTCTTGCAAGCTACAGTTTATTGCCTTTCGGAATGGAAAACTCTTCCCCAACCCTGCAAACTCGTCTCACCTTGCAGGTTATGGGAAGCACAAGATCATTGGCACACCCGTAGTCTTCATTAAAATAGGTAAGTGTTTTTGATTCTACAAGCTAAGCTATACGGGAGAGTATCTCGTAGAATGGTGCAGTGTAGCACGCAGGTATGCTGACGTGAGAATTACCTCTGCTCTAACAGAAATGTGGGTTTTTATTACCTGTGTCTTCGTATTTTAAAAAGAAACTTAAACAGCAGAGAAGCTTGGCAATTGTAAATATAGGATTCTCTTTCGTGGCTTGCTGAAGTTTATCAGAAAGTAAAAAAAAAAAAAAAGATGATTGTGTGAAGAAGGGGGAGAGGGAATGTTGCTTTTTATTCCTAATTATAGTCATTGAAAGTCCAGATCCCAAAAAGATTGATAGCAGGGATGGGCTCAGTCCTGTTGCATGTATATTGATAGTCATCAGTGTACTTCTTGAAATGATAAATCTATAACAAGTGTTCTTATGGGTGAAATAATAGCTTAAATATTGCACTTTCTATGTAATATTCAGACCATGTTAAACATTTTATTATATCCTGAATTGGGTTCACATTTTAGAAGGTTATAATTTAAGCTTTGGACTATGAAATTGTCTCTGATGTTAATTCGGTCAAAGACATCCATTTCAATTTACTGTTGTTATTTGAAACAGTCATCCCTCATCATTTTTATTCAGGGCATTGAAGTAGCGCTCTTATTTGTAGATCAACTTAATAAAATGGCAATTATAGGCAATATTAACTAGTCCAAACTTTTGTACATTGCTTTTCTGCTGATAGACCAGGAGAGGGATTTTTGCTCTGTCTAATGTGTGCGTATGTGTACAAAATGTTACCGGCTTCTATACAGAGCATGTAGCAATAAAGCGTTTTCCACTTCATTGCTTTAATTCAGTTTGTTCCTTTGGCAGATGGGTGCAATATTGGAAACCTCGCCAGTCCTCTTATTATAACGCTGAAGCACTTTACCCAGGGCATAAACCCCATTGCAGTCTTTTGGGCTTTTGACCTTCTAGATGGACATGGAGGCTGGTGGGGAGAAGGGTGCCACATAATTAGCTCTGCAGACAATATTACCACTCTTCATAGTACTCACTTCGGTAACTTTGCAGTGCTAATGGTGAGTATATAACTTCACATATGTGTGTGTGTATGTGTGAATCTGCCTGCCTGTCTTTACTTAGCAGTATCTGGTTATTAATCTTGCATTCTGTTTAGTTTAGGGAATTAAATGAGAGTGACTTAAAAGAGCCAAACTCAATACTTGGTAATGCTCAACCTTATTACCTGCTAGCAGGCCTTGTTATAAATGCTTTAATGGAAAATGAAAGTTCCATCAAGAAACTAATGAAAGTAAATTTTCTATCTCTCTGTCTATCATCTATCTATCTATCTATCTATCTATCTATCTATCTATCTATCTATCTATCTGTGTATGTGTGTGTATATACATACACACATACACATATATATTCATTCCCCTTTACATCTCAAGAAGGGTTATCTTCTATACATCTAACGCTGTGTTGATCATACTAATTAATTGCTGGCTTACTGCAATATTGAATCATTAACAAATGGAAAAAACTAAGATTGCCTGCTTCACTAAACAAGGATTCTGTGGTCCTTTCTGACAGTTCTTGAAATTCAGGTCCCTGTGATGACGATAGCATTCTTTTTACTAAATGGCTGTTTGTAAAGAAAAAAAATATTTATGTGTACTGCTAACACAAAGGCTGCTGAGGTTTTTCCTCAGGCATATTTGCAGTTCACAATGCAGTTATTTAACAGTTTTATTAACTGGAAAGTTACCAGGGCAGACACAAAAGGCAGATTAAATTAGATAACATATCAACAGTGAAGTAAATGTAAATAGTGGATGAAACGTATGAGAGAGAATCACATTAGAAAACATTTTCTGCAGCCTACAGAAGGGTTACTCAGTCTCAGTAGCTATTTGAAAGGAAGTAGTGTTCAGTCATCTTTTCTCCCTAATGTTGAATCCAGCATTCATTCCAGTATATACTTGTGAAGAGAAAATGCTCCTTATGAGCACCACTGAAAGGTTCATACTTGAGTAAATAATGCAATGTGTGTGTGATGTGTATAGGACGGCAAAAAAACAGATGACAGGAATTGAAAGGACATGTGCAGAGAATACCAATCTGCTGCTGTCAGATGGAGCACAGATGTCAGCCAGTCATGGACCAAGTCAGTGACAACAAGTATCTAAATACCAATCTTGCTTTCTACTTTATTAAATGGAATGCCTTCAGTATTGCGTGACCCATTGGTGTTCACTTACTGCTTATTACATTCAAATGCCCCTAAAGATCCAGGGCTCCCACTTTAAAAAGTCCCACTTTTTAAGCATGTGAAACAAACAGAGCTAGATTTGAACATTTAGTTAACTCTTGATGGTGTAATGGGGAATACTGCTGTGGTTCCCCATCATCTTTTCCAAAAGTACCTGTTGATGCTGCAGATACCACACCCATTTTGGCTGACCAATTTGATATCATCAATGAGGTACTTAAAACTTTGTATTTATTTATAACTGGGAGAAACTTTTTCCTTCTTTTGTAGACTATCCGGAATAAATTGATGTTATCATATGTATTTCAATTTGCTGTTCATGTCATTTTGAGGGATGTAATGTTTTCTATTAATAGGACTTCACATAGTCGTGAATGAGTTAAAGACTGCAAGACTCACTGTGTAGTTTACTGTAATGTGTATTAATATATAACAAACAGCGTAACATTTTATTGACATGGATTTGACTTCATTGAACTAATGTAACCTGATTCCCCAAGCCTATGAAAACAAACCCATTGTTGAGATTTGAACAGATTTTCTGAAATTATCAGGAGAAACATTTAAAAAAGCATTATTAGTGGATGAATCAGATGCTAGTATAGCCTGGAGATTAAAGCAGGAGATATTAAAGCGGAAGATCTCAGTTGAAGTTGAATAAAAAGCACTGTAAAATATCCAGTGAAGACTGCCCTATCATTGTTGATTCTGTATATGTGTGTGTGTGTGTGTGTGCGTGTGTGTGTGTGTGTA